TGTGTACTAACCCATCTTGCATGTTACCAAAGAAACTTTTCCAGGTTTATTGGGAAGAATATGGTTGGAAAAAATGAAACCCAACTGGGCTGAAGTAAATTACTTGTAAGATTCTGAAACTGATCTATCCCAAATTCTGAAGAAACATGCCATTTTTTTCAGCGAGGATCTGGGAAGCATCAAAAAAATCTGTCAAATTGAAAATCAAGGATGAGAATTGAGCAAAACAGTGCAAGGCTAGATCAGTGCCTTATGTAATCGAACCAGAAGTCAAGGCAGTATTCGAGACCCTGGTCAAGACAGGAGTCCTTGAACCCATAAATGTGAGTGATTGGGCAATGGCTATTGCACCAATGATGAAGAAAGCTGGATTGGTACACATCTGTGGTGATTTTAAGGTCATGATTAGGCCAGTACTTTGTGCTGAGTTGTATCCTTTGCTTTAGTTTGATGACCTATTTACTGGGCTAGCCGAAGATCAGCTTTTCAGTAAAATTGACTGTGGTCAAGCCTGTCTCCAGATGAATGCAGGTCTTGGGTCAGAGAAATACTTGAAGATTGTAACACATGAAGGACTATTCAAATGCAAGAGACTTCCATTTACAATCCCATTTGCCTCTGCCTTATTCCAACATGTCATGAATGAGATTTTAAGTAATAAGTAAATCGGAAGGAGTCCAGTATTACCCTTATGCTATTTTAGAAAATATTTAAGTTGCTCCACAAGTGAGATGCTATTCTACAGAGACTTGAAGATTATAGCCAAACTGAGGAAAGACAAATGTAATTTTAAAAAAAAATTTCCATTGAATATTTAGGCCATGTCATTGATGCTAATGGACTACATAAGTTACCTTCAAAAGTAAAAGCCATAATTGAGGCACCAGCACTGAAAATGTAATCCAACTGCGTCATTTTTGGATTTGCTAAATTACTATGGCAAATTTGTCCCAAAACTTGCAGTTGTTCTCAAGCTGTTTTACAATTTGTTGTGATAAAACAAGAATTAGAATTGGGTAGATCAGTTTGAAAGAGCAAAGTTAGAGGCTTTATTAAATTTAAAAGACCCGACCCATTTTGACCCAAAGTTAGCATTGCTACTAATGTGTGATGCAGTGGAAGCAGTTGTTTCTCGCATTCTCGCATACCTGCAAAAGTAGAAGTGAAATGGGCATAGGCAGAGAAACAAGCTCTAGGAATCATTTTTGGTATTGGACAATTCTACCAATACCTATATGATCATTGATCACAATATTTGAACCTCATACAGAGATATCTTTTCTACTAGCAAGTTGTATGCAGAGGCATGTGTAGTCGTTATTATCTCTCACATACACAGTTAAGTATTGACAATCTAACTTACATGGTAGTGCTGATGCCAAAGCAGTTGAATACAAGCAGTCCTTACATAGACATTTTCTACTTTGAACAAGCAGACAATACTCCAGTAACACAGGAGAAGTTGAGAATACAGTGGAAATGATCTACTCCTGTCAATAGTGATGGACATGGTACTTTGTGGCACGATCGTTGGAACAACCCCAGAACTGAAGCAATATACCACACAGAGGCTAGAACTATCCATAAAAGTAGGATGTCTCCAATGGGATTGATGGTGATCATTCTATCACAGTTGAGGAAACGTGTGTTAGATCAACTTTACAAAGTTCTCTGCAGCCTTGTCAGAAGGAAGGAAATAGCTATAAGCTACTTTTGGCGGCCAGGGCTTGACTCTGAAATTAAGGGGAAGGTAGGAATATGTGTACTTTGTACAAGAGTTCTCTACCTACCTCCATTGGCATCATTACACCCATGGGGATGGCCAGAAAGGCCATTGCAACTAATCCATATTGACTAATTTTCAAGAACGAATGTGGTGTGGTTGATGCACATAGTCAATCGCCTGAATCTGCCATCTTGAAGATGACATCCCCAGCAAAAACTGTTGGAAGACTGGGGGAGATCTTTGTGAGGTTGATTATCTGGAGCAACTCATAATCGCCCACAGTATATATCACAGAAGTTTTGGACTATCTAAAGCAGAAAGGAATTCGACATATCTAATCAGCTCCTTATCGTCCAGCCTCAAATGATTTGGCAGAAAGGTTTGTTCAGACTATGAAACAATTCTTAAGGGTAACTTGAGAACAAGGATCACTATCCAAAAGAATAAACCAATTTTGTTAACATACCAGGATTCAACCCACTCTGATTCTCAAATCTCTGACATTGCTAACAGTAAAGCACCATTCCGCTGGGCATTTGATTTGCTGAAACCACCTGTGACAAAAGAAGTTATTGACAGGAAATAATAGAATTAGGATTTCCAATAAGAGACCAAGGCCAAATACCATGTTTTCTAAAAATATCAAGAAGCATTCGTGAGGAGTTACACCATTGGTAAAAAGTGGGTACCAGCTGTCATTTTAGCACAGATTGGACCAGCTTCCTACACTGTACAGAAGAGAGACGATATAGCATGGAGAACATGTGCATTATCAACTCTTGAAATCAGAACGAATTTGCAGAGATAACATTAATTGAAGATCCATAAGTACCGTGGATAGAGATATAGAGACCTAGATACACTTCAGGACAGCACAGTAATTGGAGTAGCTGAAGGAGTCGATGCCTTGATGGAGAATACCGTGAGATTGTCTAAACCTCTGAACAGTCAGTCATCTCAGGAAAAGACAACAATAGATGATGTCACTTGTGCACCTAAAACACCAGAGGTTAAAGCCAATATGAAAAATAAACTAACATCTGAGGTGTGCCAACGGTCACGTAGGAATTGGTGTCCTCCAGAACGTCTTACTGACTATTGTATGAATGGTTATGAATGTTTTCATTGCAGGAACCTCTGATACAAAGGAGGAGGGATATTGTGTATTTCTGTAAGTATGTTATACTGTCACTTTAACAGTCACCAATCACAGGACATATCTATGTCATCATCCATTTGGGTGGGAAACACCTTAGTCTAACCTTGCTGCCTGTAAAGTAAACATCTCCTTAAAAAGCTTTAGCTGTTATTGCTTTGGTCCTTCTTGGAATGTAACAGAAAGTATCTTTAGCATATAATTTGGTTCGTGAGTGTTCTGTGAAATGCAGCCATGTAAAGACGCAAGACACTAAATCCAACCCATGCAACATCCTGGGGATTACCATTGACCAGAATCTGAACTAGACTACCCACATAAATACAATGGCTGCAAGAGCAGCTCAGAGGTTAGGCATTGTGTTGGGGGTAATTCACCTCCAGTCTCCCCAAAGTAACTAGAGGAGAATTGTATGAACTAAACAAAGAAGTCACTGTCAGAAAATGCTCAAATTTAATGTATATTGCAGCAGAGTAGAAAATTAAATTAACAAAGCATCAATTGAAGATGAGTTAATCAAGGTGATCAAATCCAGTTTTGTCAGAGGGGAGAAAAGGAGTTTATTGCATTGTGAATTAAAATGACAGCACAGGCCACAGGCACTTTTGTGCATGTGATGCATTATGCTAAATAATTTCCACTCCAGTTGTAGGATTTTAAGTACCGCTGCCATTTAAAGGTCTTGACTGTGGTTTCAATGATGAAATGCACTACTTACAGCATAGTAATGTAGTAGCAGGGTGTTGTACCTTTGTAGTTTGGTTGGTACATTGTTCTCCATCGCATTGTAGCAGCAAATCAACAAATATTTCTTTGAAGATGAAGGATGATCCTTTGGAGGATAAGATATCTGTGAACAGAAAAGAATGTGGACTGTTCTGCCTGAGCTGGCTCTTTTCAAGGAACTTTCCATGCAGTCCCACTTTCTTGCCATGCAATTCTTTGCCTCTTTAAGCATATATTCAATTCTGATATAAAAATTTCTGTCAAGTATCCAGAATCTTTCTAACAATCTTTTCTGGATTATACCTTACTGCCTAACAGAGTCTTTCCATTTTCCCCACTGTTCTTTACAATAATAGATAGCATCTGCAGTTCTTGCTGGAGTCAGAGTCAATACAGTGTGGAGTTGGAGGAACAGAGCAGGTCAGGCACAATCAGAGAAGCAGGAAAGTTGATGTTTTGGGTTTACACCCTTCATCAGGACTCCCTGATGAATAGGTGTTAACATGAAAGGTCAACTTTCCTGCTCCTCTAATGCTATCTGACCTGCTGTGTTCCTCCAGCTCCACACTGTATTGACTTGATTAAACCTGTCACCCTTGGTTACTGACCCATCTTCCAGAGCTTGGAAGTTTCTCCTATCTGCTCCATCTTACTCAACACAGCCACCTTTGCTGTGAAATGAACAATCCTGACTTCTATGGTCTTAACTCAACATCTGAAGTGTTCTGCCTCAGGTGTTATCCCAATAATTCTTCCCTGCGCCCAGGCCTGAACACCTGACCTAAAGGGTGATTTTTGTTTTCTTTTGTCTGACCACCATATGGCGCTTCATTGTAGAGGTCAGGAATTGTGAATAGGCACTTTTATTCTCCCACTCAGGAATGCACAATGTCATGGTAGTTAGTGAATAGGTTAGTAATGTTTATACTGCCTATAAAATACAGATCCTTTACATTTCTACTGCCCTACCACAGGTACAAAATCCTGCATTTAAAATTTACCTTAAGTACAATGGAGGCTATCCTAATATGTTGCCTTCAAGAATTGAAGAGAAGTGCATTGACTGGCAATAACTGAAAAACAAAAAGCAAATTATAAAATGATCACAAATTATGAAATAATTTATGGCTTAAACATCGAAGAAATTCATCATGAGAAGCATGAAAAATTATTTGTTCCTTTTTGAATAAATTCTGTGAATTAAACAAAATGTTGTCAAAATTTAGTATTAAAGTATCATTCTAACATCTGGAATATAATTTTTCATGAGTACATTTTGCATGGAAAATGATAGTATGCATTAAATTCCATGGCTTGATTAGACATTCTCTTTAATTTAAAGTAGGAATCAGGTTCAGTAACACTCTTTGTTTAATTGTTTTTAATCAAAAGGTACAGATGAAGACAAAGATGCTGGAAGCAAAATTCCATGAGGAGAAGCTCAAACTGCAGCAGAAGCATGACGTTGATGTTCAAAAGGTAAATTGAGAAGTTATAATAATACTTTCTCTTGCTGTAGTGTATTACTTTTGTAAGGACACAATATTTTGGCATTGCACTAATAATAAAATGGAGGAAGAAAAGAAAGTCGGGAGTTCAATTAGCCTTGGATGGAATATTTTCTCACTTTCACTAAGCTAACATAGGTGGAGGCCTGAATTCTCGGCCTGGTGAAATTACATAAAAGCCAAAATGAATTGTAAGTTTTATGACTGTTGTTGAGATCAGTGTTTGAGTATAATGCACTCTCATGGTTGTGAGATTATCGAAAGACAACATATTTTGGGCCCCTGAATCTGTGCCTGAATCTCAAGGAGCTCCTTCTGCTTGTTTCCTGTGAGTGGGGTTACAATGGCAATCTCTCCTGTTAGTGGTTTGAGTTAATATCTTTCTTCCGTCTAAGTTACGTGTGCATGGCTGCGCAGCGCTTAGGAAATTGCCCACATTCTGACCATGTGACTGCTAAAAAGAATTTAAAGGTTTTGCACAATAAGATGAACAGCTATCACAAAAAATAAAATTGTAATGGGTACACTGGTCCGCATCACCTGGCTTTCCTCTGAAAGGCCAAAAAAAACCTTTGCAATTGGTTTATTTGGTGCATGGTTTTCTCCAAGGAATGTTGCGACCACTTGGCTTTCCTGAGAGAGAATAGAACAGAAATTTCTTATCATGTGTTACCTTTACATGAGTTACCTTTACAATACAGTGAAAAGTTTTGCAAGTCGCCATTAATGGCAGAAGTCATACATAACAATAAAAAAGTAAGATTAAGATAAAGTTCGTCATGGTTCAGTTAATGGCATTTGGGCTCAAGAAAACCGATTAAGGAACGATGGAATACACTGAAGATGCAACCAGGAGGAGACCACCATTCTGGTATGAGAATGTTGCTGGGACAACACTGTTATGCTGGACTGGAAGCCTCTGCCGAAGGACCAAGTCCGCCATGTCAGGCCATTGGAAGCCACCTCATCACTGGGCTGGGAGAAGCCTCCTGTTCCCCATCCGATGCCCCTCAGACATTGCCACTGATCCAATGTCCATTCCTTTGTGGATGCTTTCACTCCTTCAGACACCCAGGCCTAGCTGTGGACTGGTCTGGGGGAGTCAGCCCAAGACCTGCTCCTTGTTCAACGGGAAAACCTGGGCTGAGGTGCAGAGGAGAACAAAGCTTAATGTCAGAGTGTTGGCATCATGTTCAGAAGAATTACCACTTGCATGTCAAAAACTGTAGCTGTCTTTCCTACTTTATATTACTGGTGCCTATCCAAAGGTATAGTGGACAGTGAAGAAGGTTATCTAAGATTACAAAGAGATCTTAATCAATTGGGTCAATGAATTGAGGAGTGGCAAGTGGAGTTTAATTTGGATAAATGTGAGGTATTGCATATTGTTAAAACAAACAAGGACTTAATCAATTAATGTTAGAGCCCTGGGTAGTGTTGTGGAACAGAGAGACCTAGGAGTTCAGGTGCTAATTCTTTGAAATTTGCATCACAGGTGGATAGGCTTGTTAAGAAGGCTTGAAGCATGCTTTCCTTCATTTGCTCAGACCTTTGAGTATATGAGTTGTGGCGTCATGTTGAGGTTGTGCAAGACATTGGTAAGGCCTCTTCTGGAGTACTGTGTGCAGTTCTGGTCGCGTTTCTATAGGAAAGATATTATTAAATTGGAGAGGGTTCAGAAAAGATTTCCCAGGATGTTGCTGGGAATGGAGGGTTTGAGCTATAGAAACATAGAAGATCGGAGCAAGAGGAGGCTATTTGGCCCTTTGAGCCTGCTCCGCTGTTCTTCACAATCATGGCTGATCGTCCAACTCAGTAGTCTAATCCTGCTTTTTCCCCGTTACCTTTGATCCTATTCATTCCAAGTGCTATATCTAGTCACCTCTTGAATACATTCAGTGTTTTGGCATCAACTACATCCTGTGGTAATGAATTCCATAGGCTCACCACTCTCAGGGTGAAGAAATGCCTCCTCATCTCCGTCTTAAATCATTTACCCTGAATCCCCATACTGTGACCTCTGGTTCTGGATGCATCCCCCATCGGGAACATCTTCCCTGCAGCTACCCGATCCAGTCCTGTTAGAATTTTATAAGTCTCTGAGATTCCCCCTCGTTGATCTGAACTCTAGCGGAAACAATCCCAACCTAGTCAATCTTTCCTCATACATCAGACCGCCATCCCTGGAATCAGCCTGGTAGACTTTTGCTGCACTCCCTTGAGACTAAGAGCATTCTTCCTCAGAAAAGAATACCATCATTGCACACAATATTCCAGGTGTGGTCTCACCAAGGCCCTGTACAACTGCAACAACACATCCCTGCTTCTGTACTCAAAACCCCTCACGTTGAAGGCCAGTATACCATTTGCCTTCTTTATCGCCTGCTGCACCTGCATGATTACCTTCAGCAACTGGTGCAAAAGAACATCCAGATCACACTGCACACTCCCATCTCCCAATTTAAAGCCATTCAGGTAGTAATCTGCCTCCTTATTTTTGCTTCCGAAACGAATAACTTCACATTTATCCAAAGTATCCTGCATCCGCCTTTGATTTGCCCACACACCCAACCTGTTGAAATCATGCTGAAGGATGTTTGCATCCTCGTCACAGTTCACCCTCCCACCCAACTTGGTATCATCTGAAAACTTGGAGATGTTACATTTTGTTCCCTCATCCAAATCATTAATATATATTGTGAATAGCTGGGGTCCCAGCATCGAGCCCTGTGACACTCTAGTAGTTACTGCCTGCCAATTTGAAAAGGACCCAATAATTCCTACTCTTTGTTTCCTCTCTGCGAACCAGTTTCCCTATCCATCTATCAAAAGCTTTCTGTATCGACTGGCTCCCCCTTGTCAACTCTAGTTACATCTTCATAGAATTCCAACAGATTTGTCAAGCATGATTTCCCCTTCATAAATCCATGTTGACTCTGTCTCATCCTGCCACTGCTTTCTAAATGCTCTGCTATAAAATCCTTGACAATGGATTCGAGAATTTTCCCCACTACTGTTGTTAGGCTCACTGCTCTATAATTCTCCATTTTCTCTCTTCCTCCCTTCTTGAATATTGAAGTGACATTAGCTGACCTCCAATCTGCAGGGACTGTTCCAGAGTCTATAGAATCCTAGAAGATGAACACCAATGCATCCACTATTTCTAGAGCTACTTCCTTAAGTACTCTGGGATGGAGATTATCAGGCTCTGGGGATTTATTGGCCTTCAATCCCAACAATTTTCCCAGCACCATTTCTCTGCTAATATTTATCTCCCTCAGTTCTTTCCTGTCACTAAATCTTGCATCCTCCAACAGTTCTGGTATGTGATTTGTGTCCTCTTTTGTGAAGACAGAACCAAAGTATGTATTCAGTTCCTCAGGCATTTCTTTGTCCCCTATTATACATTTTCCTTTTTCTGTCTGTAGGGAACCTACATTTGTCTTTATCAATCTCTTTCTCTTCACGTACATATAGAAACTCTTAGTATCAGTCTTTGTTCCCTGCAAGTTATTTCGTACTCTATTTTCCCCTTCTTAATCAATGCCTTGATCCTTCTTTGCTGAATTCTAAACTACTCCCAATCCTCAGATTTATTAGTTTTCTTGGCCAATCTATATGCCTGTTCCTTGGGTCAGATACTATCTCTTATTTCCTTTGTAAGCCATGGATTGGCCGTCTTATCCATTTTGCTTTTGCGACATACAGGAATAAACAGTTGTTGCAGTTCCCCAATGCGTTCCTTGAATGTTTGCCATTGCCTATCCACACTCATCCCTTTAAGTAACTCTCCCCAGTCTATCAAGGCCAACTCACACCTATTATCCTCAAAGTTTCCTTTATTAAGGTTCAGCACCCTCGTCTCCGAATCAGCAACCTCACTGTCCGTCTTGATTAAAAAAAAATTCTATCACGTTGTGGTCGCTCTTCCCCAAGGGGTCTTGCACAGCTAGATTGGCAATGAGTCCCTTCTCATTACACAGCACCCAGTCTAAGATGGCCTGCTCTCTAGTTGGTTCCTTCACATATTGGTCAAGAAAACCATCCCATATACACTCCAGGAATTCTTCCTCTATGGCATTGTGGCTAATTTGATTTACCCAATCTATTTGCAGATTAAAATCACCTAGGATCACTGATATTCCTTTATCACATGCATCTCTAATTTCCTGTTTATTGCTATTCTTGACATCACTGCTGCAGTTTGGGGGTCTATATATGACACCTACTAATGTTGTCTTGCTGCTTGGTATTTCTTAACTCTACGCATGCAAACTCTTCATTGTCAGAGCTAATATCCTTTGTCACTATTGTGTTAATTTCCTCTTTAACCAGCAATGCCGCTGTGCCACCTTTTCCTTTTGTGCCTGTTCTTCCTAAATGCTGAATACTCTGGGACATTCAGTTCCCATCCCTGGTCACTGTGCCGCATGTCTCCATAATTCCAATTATATCGTACCCATTTACATCTATCTGCGCAATTAATTCATCCACGTTACTGCAGATGCTCCACGCATTAAGGCACAAAGCCTTTAAGCTTGTCCTTTTAACAGTGTTTGTCGTCTCTGTATTTTTCTCAATAGCCCTATTTGAATCTTGTCCTTGGTTTCTCAGCTTATCAATTTGTTTTATTCCCTTTTCTAGCTTTTGTTTTTGTCCTTGCTGCAGCTTTCTCTGACTGTTTACATTGAGGCTTTACAAGGAGAGGCTAGATGGGCTGGAACTTTTTTTCACTGCAGGGTTTGAGGTTGAGGGCTGACCTTATTGAGGTTTATAAAATCCCGAGGGGCGTAGATAAGGCGAATAGCAAAGGTCTTTCCCTAGAGTGGGGAAGCTCAAAACTAGGGAGCATACTTTTAAGGTGAGAGGAGAAAGTTTTAAAAAGGAGCTGGGGGCAGCTTTTTTTACACAGTGTGGTTCATATGTGAATTGAACTGCCAGAGGAAGTGGTGAATGCATTTACAGTTACAA